CCTGGGATTACAGGTGTACTGTTTTTCATCTGTAGTTTCTTTGAGCCACAGTCTGTCTGGCTGTGTTGTCTAGGCTGCTCTCACATTCCCAAGTTTAAGCAGCCCTCCTACCTCAGCTTCTTTGTAGCTGGACTGTAAGGCACCTGCTGCCATGCCTGCCTTTCCATATCAGTTTTACACACACACCAAACAAACAAAAAACCTCTTAGCTGGGCGTGGTAGCACACACCTTTAATCTCAGTACTTGGGAGGCAGAGGCAGGCGGATTTTTATGAATTCAAGGCAAGTTCCAGGACAGCCTCCAAAGCTACACAGAGAAACCCTGTCTCGAAAAACAAAAACAAAACAAAATCTCAAAAAATAACTTCTGTAATTTGTCTCAGAATTTTACCTTCAGAGACAGAGGTGGTCTGGCACACTCCAACGTTTGGGAAGCTAAGTCAGGAGATTGTTTAGTTTTTTTGTTTGTTTTTGAGACAGGCTCTCACTATGTAGATCAGGTCTCATTCACAGAGATCTACCTAAATCTGCCTCCCAAGTGCTGGGATTGAAGGTGTGCTTCACTATTGGCAGGCTGAGGTAAGAGATTGCAAATTCAAGGTCAGCCTGAGCAATTTAGCAAGGCTGTCTCAATTTTTAAAAAGGGTAAAGGATATGGGTCAGTGATGGTAGAATACTCATGGTCCTGGTCCAGCATACAGCACTGAAAAAATAAACAGTCTCATTGTACTCATCCAGGGCTATTCATTCAGCAAATGTATGCTGACTGCCACCTGTACAGTCTTCAGGAAGAGCTTACATATATAAAACAAATGTAGAATTAAGTACTGTGAAGAAAAGGGGGCAATAATCTGAGCCCAAGGAAGCTATGGTATCGAGGCAGTGGAGTGGGGCTGGCACTGAACAGGGTTGGCGCTGTTTGGGTCAGCATGCTGAGCTGAGAACTGAAGGGTCTAGTGAGCTTTGCACATAGCTCAAGCAGGCTGACCAGTGCAGAGTCTGGGAGGACACAGTTTCGAGTCTAAGGAGCAGCAGGTTGGCAGGGTAAGGGTAGAGTTGTGGGGAGGGTACCAAAGTCCAGACAGTTTGGGGAATTTCAGAGCTAAAACTGGAGTGGTCACATCCCTATGAGTCTTAGGGACACTGAAGAGTGTGTTTTCAACCCCCAAGCAGCTTCAGAGCGCCTTTATATAGTGCAGTGCGTGAACACCGGTTGTACTGCTAATCTTCCACTTCCTCCCCAGCAAAAAAGGGAGAACCTGTCCCCGCTCTGCCTCATCCCCACAGTGACATCACCCCGGGAAGAGCAGCAGCTTCTGGCCAGCACCTCCAAGGTGAGGCCCCGGAGCCCAGTGGGTTGTGTGTGTGTGTGGGGGGGGGTTGGAGTTGAAGGCTGCTGTCCTCTCCCAGTCTCTTGACTCCACCCTCCTTCAACTTTCCCCTGCAGCCCGTGGTGAAACTTCTGCATAACCGCAGTAACAACAAGTACTCCTATACCAGGTGAGTGCTGGGGGCATGGGCGTGTGTGCATGTGCTCACACACTGGGGGATGTGGGTGTCCACCGTGTTCACTGGGTAGAATCCTAAGGTTGAGCAGGGTTCTGCTCCTGTCCCTCAAAAGAGTATAGCTACATGAAGAGACTATAGACTGCCTGCCTTTTGAATGCCCCATTCCAGCTGTGCCGCCTGCCACCATAAAGGAAGTTTAGGCCAAGTCTGTGGTAATGGCTGGCATAGGCTAGCTCCTTTTTTCCTAGCAGTATTGGTCTTAGTGTCTGTTGACTTATCCACTCTCCCAATGGTCTCTGGAAGTGTTGCTTTCCATCTAGAGATGATATTGTGGCAGCAAGGGGTAAAATAACCTGCTTCATGTTGCTGAGTTAAAATGTAGCAGGGCTGGAGTGCCTAGTGACAGCCTGGTTGAGGGTGCCTCTGTGCTGTGCAGCAATTTGTGCTGTGCAGCGATTTGTTCAGAAATGCTTCCCTTCTGAGAGGCCTACACTGTTGGAAGTCCCCTGCTGGACAGGACTGGAGTGCTGGAAATATGGGCCCTCTTGGGGGAGCTGAGGGAGGGAAGACAGTCAGTCACCTAAGGCCTGCTGGACCCTGGTCCTCAGCACTTCAGATGACAACTTACTGAAGAACATCGAGCTGTTTGACAAACTAGCCCTGCGCTTCCATGGGCGGCTGCTCTTCCTCAAGGATGTCCTGGGAGATGAGATTTGCTGCTGGTCTTTCTATGGGCAGGGCCGAAAAATCGCCGAAGTGTGCTGCACCTCCATAGTCTATGCCACGGAGAAGAAGCAGACCAAGGTCAGAGGGGATCAGGGAGGGGTGGGAGGTAGGACCAGGACCCTGGACAGAGCAGATCAGCAGGTCAGGCAAGGTCAAGATGTTGGTGGGCATCCAGGGCCAGAGTTCTAGGGCTCTGGCTGTGTATCTTGGGTAGGTCTCACTTCAGGGATGTTTCTCTGCCTATGAACTGAGGATGTTAGAGTAGAACCAGGTTGTTTTGCTTTGCTTTGGTTTTGGTGCAGGGATTCAGCCCCGGTCCTTGTTAAGAAACATGGTAATTTTTTTTGTTGATTTTGTTTTTTTTTTTCGAGACAGGGTTTCTGTGTATAAACCTGGCTGTCATGGAACTGGCTCTGTAGACCAGGCTGGCCTGGAACTCAGAGATCCTCCTGCCTCTGCCTCCCAAATGCTAGGATTAAAGGTATGTGCCACCACTGACCAGCTAACTAGTTAAATTTTAAAATGTCCCAGTACCCAACCTGTGTTAGACACTGCCCCAGACTCTACACCAGACACAGTATGTTGAGCAGAGTGCCCTTTTTCCTGTCAGCTAATGAACTTATGTTTTCAGACCCAAGCCAAGCATCATTTCTCTTTGGACACCATTGCTCATGAAATTTCAATACAACTGCCTCAGATAAAGTTGGTCAAACTCCCTCTGGTTGGACAAAATGTTGTAGTGTAGGGTAGAACAATGGCTGCAGAGCAGTGCTGTACCTTTTCCTGTCTGATGTCCCCTAGCTAATATTAGCCTGGTACTTGTCACTTTGTGGAAGTACTAAGAAATATTGATCAAAGGCAAGGAATAGATAACTCAGCTTCCAGAAGTTTTTGGTTTTTTTTTTCCCCTTCAATTAGGAAGATAGGAAGATACAAAAGGTTAGAATGTAGCTTATGGGGAGGGTGTGGCCATGTATACCTGTAAGTCCACCTAACTGGTCTTGTGTAAGAGGACTGCAAGGTCAAGTGAGACCTGTCTTAAAATAATTAATTCAGTAATAAACAAGTAAATAAACATGCAGGACTAGTCCAGCATGCCAGAGCACTGGGCTCAGTCCTCAGTACTGGGAAGAAGGAAAGGCAAGCTGTGTTTATTATGTCCTTCTAAGACTGCCCCAAAATGCCACTTCTCCTACCTCATTTCCCTGTTTTTCTTCATCATTTTGTCCTGACATCTGAGACAAATTCCTGACCAAACCTTTACACTCCTTGCTGCTGCTCTTCAGTGTGTTTTCTCTGTCTATCTGCCTCCTTACACATTTGGCTAAACACCACATTCCCAGCAAGGCCTTGCCTGAACTCCCTCCTGAAAGATGAAGCACTCCTGGGGATGGCCATTCTCATCCCTTTTCCTCCTAACTTTCTGCATAAAACGTCATCAGCTAACTGAATGTATATTTTAGGAAGTGTATCTGTGTCCTCCCCCTGGGCTTCCAGCGTGCTTAGGGCAAGCATTTGTTATCACTGCTATGTTCCTGATGCTTAGAACAACCCCTGGAATAGTGGCAGGTACTCAAGGTTCATTAGAAGAGAGAGCATTCCAAGAGACTAGGCAGTAAAGGATAACTGTCTGCCTTCGGGGCCTGGAGGAGAGCCTACAGAGGAGCCGCTGGGGAAGGGCTGTGGGAGGGTAGGAGCCACAGGTTGCTGGCCTTTTTCAGGTGGAATTCCCTGAGGCCCGGATCTTCGAGGAGACACTGAACATCTTGATTTATGAGACTCCCCGTGGCCCAGATCTAGCTCTCCTGGAGGCCACAGGGGGTGCAGCTGGAGGTGGTGGGGCAGGCAGAGGAGACGATGAAGAGAACCGGGAGCACCGTGTCCGGAGGATTCATATTCGCCGCCATATCACCCATGATGAGCGTCCTCACGGCCAACAGATTGTCTTCAAGGACTGACCTTTGATCTCTCCTATCTTCCTCTTGCTTGTGGGACCCAGTCCCTCTCTCTTTGCCCCGGCTTTGCTGGCCAAGTCGTGGGTCTTTCCTGTGTCCCGTCATTGCATGCTATGTTCAGTGAGGCCCTTTCCAGTCATTGCCACTCACTGCTAACAACATGGTACATTCCAGCTTCCCCCTCAGGCGGGGCTCTTCAGAAAGCCAGCATCCACCCCTCTTCCACGTCCTTGTTCTGCTGTCTTTCTCTTACCATCTGGTTTAGAATGACACAGAGTTCCCCTTCTCTTTTGTTAATACATGAAAACACATGTAGAGACCTCAGTACCATCAACCACATTCCAGGCTGCTTTCTGCCATTGCACAGAGCAGTTCGTTCCCCTCCTGCCTCACCATTCTCCCTACCTCCTTAACTTTGTACTAGGCTGGCCTGGACCTATACCAGCTCGGCTATCTTGATCTGGTTCATGTTATTTATTTTAATTTTCTATTAAATTATTGGAATAAAGTTGAGCTGGGGGTCTGCTGTTGAGTCTTGGGTGAGGGATGGGAAGATGGCCTGTGTTAAGGAGATGCCTGGCTGTTAGCGTGATAGGAACATGAGCCCCTGCCCTGAGACCTAACATGGGACTGGTAACTGGGAAGGAAGGAGTCAGGAATTAGGAGAGATTCAGAATTTGTATTTCAGTGCTGGCTGAGTAAGTCACACCCTCCTGCCCCCCACAGTGGAAAGGAGGCCCTGACCACCACTCAAGTGGTCCTTGGGTGCAGCATCACTCCATCTCAGGTGCCAGAAGGGAGCAACGTCTTTCAAGGGTCTGGTGCGAAGACAAAGTCAAGAGCTTGGCGTTCAGCCCCAGCCACGTTGGGGTGCCAGAGGTCCACAATGAAGACCACTCGAGGCCCATCTTCAGGGGATCCTAGGGCACACAGGGATGGAGACAGCAGCTGATACCAATTACTTTTCTGCCAAGGGATTCACATCAGGCACTGAAGAAAGCAGGCAGTGCCAGGCCCGAGCCAGTGTTTTAGTTGTTCATATAAGGCAGGGTCTCATCATGTGTCCCAGCCCTTGAACTCAGCATCCTCCTGGTTCAGCCTCCTGAGTACAGGTGCTGAGTTCGTAGGTGAGTGTCACCATACCTGGTATTGTTCTAACCCTTCATATTGATAACTCTATGTGCCTAAACTACCAACTAACTGAGATGAGACATAAGGTTAAGTAAATGTCTGAGGTCCCACAGCAAGAGTTGGACAGGCGTGCAGACAGTCTAGTGTGTAGTCCTGTGCTGATAGTCACATAGGCAGATGCCCCATAGGTAACTGGAGAAGCTGTGGTTTGCCCAAGGCTGTGCAGCACCAAAATGGTGCCCCTCAGTTAAAGCTGGCTGGAACTCCTCAGTTCTTTGGTCCCTCAAGCCCAACCCAGCCGAATGTGAATCTCGTTACCATTATGAGCCACTGTGTGTAGGAAGGAGTCATCCACCAGGAGACAGTGTCCTTCAGCCCAGCATTGAGGTTCACCACCAACAACCAGCTCACAGCCAGGGGGGATCTTCAGGCCTGTGAGGAGAGAATGGGAATACATCACTCGTGCCTGTGTTCAAGGGCCTACCCACTCAGCAGGCCTTACAGGCCAGGTTCTGTGGTCTTCTCAAAGGTGACAGGAGGACATTCACAACACAGTCCTGTCTGAAAGATGCTAAGGCTGCACAGTGCTGCTGTGAGAACCATATCTGACATTTGGAGAAAAGCACCCCTGAGCAGTCTCCTCCTGGATCTCCTGTCAGTTCAGCTCCAGAACCCACTATGAGCTGGGCACTTCTCCTATGGGGTATATCTACTGGCTCCAGCCTGACCCCAGGGCCTCAGCAAGTGTGCTGAGAAAACTGAGCAATTCTGATGGCAAACGACATTCCAGAAGGTGGCACTGGAAAAGTCCTTAAGACTGAGAAGTTGAAAGTCTAACCTGTGCATGGTATAGCTGCCGGAGCAGCCAGGAAGCCTTCATGAGTGGGGGAGGAGGATCTGGACTTGAGTCTGAAGCCAGTGTGCCCCAAAGGGTAAGACACAGCCAGCTGACAGCACAACATATTCAGGGTGAGCCAAAGTTATGGCATAGAATAACAACCATAACACTTCTTTTCTGGTTTTCTTTCAATGTTTTCCAATGTTAGAAAGAAAATGTCAGGTCGGTGCTAACATCCCACTAACATTGTTACTTACCAGTGAAGAAACCTAAATAAAGTAGGCCAAATATAATGGTGCACACCTTCACTCAGGAGGTAGGTGGAGGAAGATCTCGGTGAGTGGGGCCAGCTGGTATGTTATTTAGAGTTCCAGGCCAGCCAGGACTACATAGTGAAACACCCTGTCTCAAGAAACAAATTAGGGGTGGGGAGGGGCTAGAGTATCTCACTATACTCCCTAAAATTAAATAAATACGTAAATAAGGTCAAAACCCTGGCTTGCCTCAAATTGGGATCGGATCCTCTTGCCTCAGCCTCCCAGGAGCTGAGATTACAGGCATGCACCGCCATGCCTTCCTCAAGGTTTTCTCTTTTTACAGCTCACATTTGGTTTTCTGAGTATCTTCTCTTCAGGGCAAGTAACAGTGACCACTTCCAGTGAGGATTTCTTTCCAATTAAAAGAAAAGGGCGTGAGGGAAGGGCGAGAGGCAACGTGGAACACACTGCAAGTGGCCAGTGACTGGATAGCGCTTGCGTGGAAGTGGAACTCAGGGTACTGGGTTGGGTAAGATTCTGAGAAGAAAGGCATGATGGGAACCATAGTGCAGAAAAAAGGGTGGGGAAGGACGACATGTGGAGGCAAGGGTTTGTGGATAGGATATACTCACCCAGATGGCATCTAACCCGGGCATTGGTGGGTCCACAGCGGCCCTCAAGCCGGGCCCCAGGCAGGAGAACGGAAAAGCCAGCATTGCCGAAGGTATTAGCACTCATGAAGCTCCGCAGCCCCCTCAGTGCGCGATAGGCTCCTGGGCACCGCCGGCAGTTGCTGGGTTGGCACCGGCCAGCTTGGTACAGCAGGAGCTGGTAGCACCCAGGGGCCAGGGGTGGGGACCAGCCCCGAGGCAGAGGGGCAGTCCCTGAGAAGTCCCAGCTTACAGCCCCAAAGTCCCTCAAAATGGCAGGGAAGCTGCTCTGTAGGAGCTCCACGTCATGCCTCTGGGCATCACGTGGCACAAAGGGGGACGAAGGCAGGTCTGGTAGGAAAAGTAGGCCTGGTCTCTGAATGCCCAGGCCCCCTGTCCCTCCTGCTTGGCCAGAGCCTCCATGAGCTGCCCGCCTCACCCTGCCCATCCCAGCCCAGGAGTAGCGCCTGGCATAGGCCCGAAGTCGCCGGCTCACTAGACCCTCTGCCCTGGGTCCTTCCCCAGGATCCCCAGAGCCTCTTGGGCCAGTCTGAGAGCATACATCAGGTCCACCACTAACACTTCCAGCTCGGGTCCCAGCACCCAGGGCCTGCATGTCTTGGGAGCCCAGGCGGTAGCAGTACCATAGAAACAGAGAAGTGAGGGCTCCCAGGAGCACAGTAAGAGCTGAGGAGCCTAGGGGCAGTGGCCATGGAAACATGATAGTCAAAGAGGCCCTGGCCAAGAGGCCTGCTGCATCTTCCGGACCCCAGCTCCCGGGTCCCCCCAGTTCTCCACCTGTCCCCTCGATGATGGCTTCCTGGTTCCTGCCCTTCCACATCGCCACTCCTGTTCCCTCTCTCCTTCTGCAGGCCCCTCACTTCTCTCTCTCTCTCTCTCTCTCTCTCTCTCTCTCTCTCTCCCTCCCTCCTTTTTCTTTCTCTATTTGACTGTCTCCACTCTGAGCTCGCTCTAGTCCTTTCTATGACCCCTCTGTTCTTTCTCCTTCCCGCAGTCTCCTCTCCCTCTGCCTCTACTCTCTCTCTCCACCCTCAATCTCCTTCCTCCACTGCACTCCTGCCCCCCTTTCCCTATCTACCCCTTCTTTTTCTTCTAGCTCCCCGTAACGACAGCAGTCCCTAATCCACCTGGCCTGCAGTCCCACTCTGGAGCGGCTTCTTTCTCCTCCCTCTTTCCCCTCTCCTTGTCCTGTCTTCTCCCTCGACCTGCTCTGCTCGGGTCCGTCCTCTTTGGTTCCCGGCCTCCTACACACCCCTTCCTGGGCGCCCACTCACCCTGACGTCACTTCTTCCCGCAGCCCTCTCAGCTTAGCCACCCCGCGACCCCTCCCAGAGGCCCCCGCGGCCCAGCCCTGGGGGGAGGGGAGACTTTCTCCAGATTTGCCTCTCTAGACCCCCACCCCCAGCCCTGACCTAGCGCCACGTGGGGTATAGGGGCACAGTGCCAACCTCCAGCCGCCCC